GGGGGGGGGGGGGGGGGGGGGGGGGGTTTCCATGGAGACTTCTGCGGGGCTGGCCTCCCCCCGCGCCACGCACACGCGGAGCAGATCAGCTGACACATCATTAGCTTAGGACCTAATTATTGCTTATTGGAGCAACAAATGAGAGCGAGCGGGGCAGCTGCGGGAGCCGGAGCTCTGCCTTTGCACCAGGCAGCGCTGGCTGGCAGTCCCGGGTGGGCCCTCATTAACTTGCCAGGCTCAAATCGCTGCACCCCCACCCGCGCGCGCACACACACACACACACACGCGTATCCCTTCCTGCTCCCCCGCCCCTGCCATGCACGGGAGGGGATGCATTTGATGCCTTGAAAAGAAACCAGCCTGTGGAGCTGGGCCTGCGCTCCCCTGCCCGAAGCACAGCTGCAGCTGGCAGAGGGCAGTGCAGCCAGCCCGTGGAAAAACGGCACCCCTCGCAAAAGGCCCACCTTGTTTTCATTGCATTTAGAAATAAAGGGAATCCTCACCGGTGCGCTCGTGTATTTCTTTATTCTTGTTAAGGCCTCTAATGCCTTCCCAGGGGTGGAACAGCTCCTGACATTTCTGCCCAAAGCACCTCACCAAGAATATCCACCCCCTCCTCCTTGAGGGACTTTGCCATGCATTGAGACTCTCCTCACAGATGAAACCTTGCACAGAGGCACCTCGCCCGTGTGCAGCTGGTATCAGACACCTAGTCCAAAGGAAAGTGGGTTCTGATTTTTTTTTTTATGCCTTGACCTTTCAGGTCGCACATGCAGAGAAAAGGCCCCACACCAAGCCAGGATTTCCCATCCCTGCTAGAATAAGAGATGATTAAAAATGCACCATTATTTGCTTGATCACAAACGACACCAGGGGTAACTTCAGCGGCAATGTTTTTGTTGGTGCTGCTGATTTGTAGGCATGAAAGAGAGTTGCCCCACAATGGACGTGGGGGTGAGCAAAGGGATGGAGGGAAGAGGCTGCTGCTCTTTACTCCTGTTGACCTACGATAATGACTGTTCCTTTTGCTTGAAATGTAGGTCTCGGCTTCATCTGGTGTTTCTTTCATATCAGAAGTTGGTACGGTCTATGCTGTATTTAGGTTTTCAACAACCTCAGGCCTGTTAGAGATCAACTAAGAAAAAGGAAACTGTTGTGTCTCTGCAGGGAGGTACTAGTCTTTATTGTTCCCCATCTCTACTGGTTAGGCCATTTGTGCTACATGAATACTATTTTTATTTATATGACTGCCATGCCTAGGAGTCATAGTCATAGTTCAGGGTCCCCTTTATGTTAGGCATTGTACAGTCACACAACAAAACAACAGGGGGACTGATGAAGGAATCCTTTGAACAGGGGCACTGATAGAACGGATTCCCATTATCCAGACATAGTAGAGTCTCATGCAAGATAACCTATGCCAAAGCTCTTTTTAAATTAAAACTTTCACATTGGGGGTTTTTTGCCTCAGTTAAGGTTTACTCTCTATCTTGGCTGTATCCTGTAAAGCGCTAAACCCCCCCAATTCTCGGTGGAGGGTCTGGGACTTACGGGCACCTTCACCCAACAAGAGGGAACCCAGGCATGATGTTGGGAGTGCTGGTAATGGTACTCATGTGCCACCATTATCTTTGTCTTTGCTTTGGTGTTTTGTGTTTTGAGCAGAGGAATCTGTCATATGCACAGGTGGGCCAAGAAGAGGATGACACTTTTATAAAAGCAATACTCTAAACTGACAGCATTAGGAAGCAATGTTTTTGTTCCCAGAACTGTGGCTAGCATCATCCAGATTTGGAAAAGAATAGGCACAATGGAGAGAGAAAAATAAGACATGCAGGAAGGTCAAGAAGGCCTGTTACTTTTTCTTGGCCACATAAACTTTTTCACATAGGCCCATAAACTATCTTGACATCCCCATTTTAACATGAGATAACAGCTCACGTGTGTCTAGCGCAGGAGCTAGAGGAGAGGCACAACAATGGACCTCTTACTACATAGAAGAGAAAAGCAAGAATAGAAAACCTCCCTGAACCCTTGTTCAGAAGGCTTTCCAGCAAGTAACATTATTTTGGCATGACATTAAGTCCATGTTTGAAAAAAGGTCATAATATAGGTTGGACAGAACTGCTGAACTAGACTGTGACATAATTGTTCTCAACACCAACCTCCTGCTGGGGGTCTCTCAGTTATTTCCACATCATGCTGATACCATGTTATGCTTGACATTGAAGCAAGCTCACAGAGCAATGGAGGAAAGAAAAAATACAGCATATATACAGGTGATGCAAGTTTAACATGTAACATTCCACGTTAAAGTGAACTGGGGAACTGCAGCTTGTGGAAAAATAAGGCTGTGCCCAGGAGTACAGCTTCCGACAGGGATCCTGTAAAAAGGCCTCGTCCTGTTCTTACCAGAGACAGACTTTCACTAACTTCAGTAGAAGCAAGCTTAGGTCTGAAGGGGACAATAATACCTTTAAATGAAGGAAATAATGGAATGGGCAGCAAATCCACACAAGCCAGGCCAGGCTGAACAATAGAGTTGTATGGAGAGTGTAACCCACCACAGACTTTTATCCAAAGGGTTTTGTTTCTATATTTGATTTTACTCTTAGGTTTTGTGATTCATGTACAGCATTAGGTGCAATGTATAATAATTATATTATTTATTATTTGCTTGGCAGTAAGTCCTTGGGGTCCTGGCCCATGATGGGGCTCCTTTGTACTAGGCACTGAATAAACCATACATAAAACAGACCCTGCCACTAAGAGTTTACAATATAAGTAATATGACTGTTAGGGCCTGTGGTTCCGTTTTATTACTGATATATAATAAATTATATATACATTTGTATTTTATTTATTTCAGTGGGATTTTATGGTGTATTTGAACACAAAACAATCCCTCATTTTTTAAATATCCCAAGGAGACTCTGAATATAAGCTTTTAAGGTTTATCTAGCTTAGGAAAAGTGAGTCAGGTCAGGCCCAGGTTTTGTGTCCGGATTAACATGGTGTATTGTAGAGAAGCATCTCCATAAAGGAAAGAGCTAGAATTCTGATTACACACAAATGGGGGTGTTGTATGAATTCTTACACACAAGCACACATCCCTTGATCTCGATCTTCTTTAAATATCTGTTTTAGCATCCTTTTGAATTTGGGCTACGAACATGCAAAGATTCCAGAGGTTAGAGGTTCTTCTGCTGTGTTCTGCACAACCAAGGTTTTTCTTTCCTGGAAAACTAAAATTTCTTGCCTTACTGGTCATGAAGATAGCTTTCATCCAGCAAATCAGTGCATTGCTGTATTATTTACTTTGCAACCAGACTGAAACAATACAGCACCAACAGATGTGTGAACTTCCCATTCATTGTAATGAAGTGTTAGCTACAGTACAAAGCAGAGTTTTAAAGTTTTAAAGTGCCTCATGTGCATAAAACTGTTAAAGGGATTCTAGGATAAATCATATTTGCAAGCTATAAATATTGTATATTTGGAGTTACAAACGCGAACAGTATGTAGCAACTCCATTAGGTATAGAGAGTGAAGACTGGGTCGTAGAGGAACCTGGTGTCTTTTGCTAAAGTTATTTGTATCTAGAGGTGAAATTACAGTCTTATGACAACATAGTGCTGGTGCTATATGGTTGACAAGGTACTCTCAGGTATTGATAACTTCCTCAAGAAGGATAAAAAGAGCCTTTGGCCTGAAATCTGTCATACTTGTTCTCCTAAAAGATAGCTTGCAAAAGATTTGATCCTGATCTGTTGGGCATTTAAAGGTATCAGTAGATAAGGGAACACATTTTAAGAAATGTCATAAACGGGTTTTTTTTATAGTCATAGGGACCTACCAAATTCATGGCGGAAGTGGGCTGTGCTGCAGCTCCTTTAATCTTGTAGGTTCTCCTGTGCATTCTCCCCTGCCAATTGGTGGAGGGGCCCTGTTGCTCGCTCCTGATTGGTAGGAAGGCAAAACCATGGCTTTAAGTATGGCACCATTTTCAGTATGGCAGGGCCACTGGCACCCTTCAGCCAATCAGCAATGAGGGGGAAGGGTGTGCAGGGAGACCTGCAAAATTAAATGAGCCTGCTTCCATCGTGAATTCAGTAGGTCCCTAGTCATAGTTAAAAGGAAATAATTGTTTTAATATTTCAATCTCCCATGTAAGATCTGAAAGGAAAGCTTCTTCACTAAGACAGAAAAGTTATAATCAACAACAACTTCCTTTATATTGTATGAACACTACCACATCCTTTACTCCAGGAGGTAGAAGGCTATTCCAATAAAAGGTCGCAACTTGGTGATCTACAGGAATATGAACCCAGGCAGTTCTAATTTTGGTGGAGATAAAGAGTCAGCATTTATATGCAGCAGAGGATTCCCATATATGTG